TTTGGGCCATACAATCGGGCAGATCATGTGGTGTTGTAGGCATCCCTGGTGGGAAAAGATGAATGTATGGTTAACTCTAACGAGAGTGCAAAAACCATGAAGGGACCATGTCTGACTTCCTTAGACTTCACAAAAGATAAAGAAAATCAAAATCAGCCCAAGGTTCACTTCCTATGAAGTGGAGGTCAGACATGCCTCCACCCTACAAACGTCTTTATCCTATTCTGACACTAATAATCCCACCCACAGCACTCTCTTCTTCACATCTGGGGTCGACAATTCACTGCAGTGGTCACACAGAACTTATACCAATACTCATGATTATGGGGTTTATTAGAGAAGTGAACATAAAATTCAGGATCCAAAACAACTCAGGATGCAGCAATTTTCCAATCAGAAAGGCTTCTTCTCTGCCTTACTGCAGACAGGCCTCACTCTTGTCTTCGGCTTCTCAGCCATGTGGCCTCTTAGCCTATGCCCTGCTTGAGCAAGTGTTACAAATATCCTGTCAGTAGGCACTCAGCTTTACTAAGTCCAGGGGCCTAGAGCCTGCAGCTGCTCTTCTCTCTCTCCATGCCACTGCCTCCGCTGTCACCTCTGCTATTATAGCTTTTCTAGTTAGGGTTCTCATGTTCCACTCATTGTCTTCCTTCTTGATGGTGCTGGGATCATCTGTTCTTGCTTCTTAGATGGCTCCTTTTAAACCTAGCAGGATAGCAAAACTAACCAATCCCAGACGTATAGTCCTGCACATCTTATTTGCGTGGTCCAGTGCAGCCACAGCATTCCTTGGAGGCCAGGATGGCCAAACTTTGCATACTTTGGACGTATTGTCAGGAGGGACCAGTCACTGGAGAAGGATATCCTGTTTGGTAAGGTGGTGGGTCAGAGATAAAGAGGAAGACTGCCCCCAGTGAAATGAATTGGCAAAGTGGCAGCATCAATGGATTCAAGCATGACAACAATTGTAAGGTTGGCCCAGGATTGGACAATGTTTCGTTCTGTTGTGGATAGGGTTGCTATGAGCCGAAACAGACTCGATGGCACCTAACAACAACCCAATCATTGGTAGGAATTAAGTCATTAGATAGAAAAGTCATATCAAGTAAATTCAAGATACTACAGGGAGTATCACAACACAGGCACCTTACATTCTAGAACAAGGTCATACAACTTATAGCTGAGAAATGGATGCTCTTCCCATCTTACTAAGTGCTGAAATATTTGAGGAAAGGCTGGTGAGCTTAAACTGCTGACCTTGCAGCTCAAACTGACCTTGCAGTCCAGCACATTAACCCAAAGTGCCACTTCAGTCTGATTAGTTCACAATTGAATTTTGTCTTTTTAGATATACTCATATACATACAAAATAAATGCATGCATACATTCCCAGAAAGAAGTGAATAAATACTCATGATGTTCTTGGTATGAGGAGTTGAGTCAGTTTCAATTCATAGTGACCCTGTATAGGGTTTCTGAATCTATAAATCTTTGCAGAAGCTGAAAACCTCATTTTTCTCCCATGGAACAGCAGATGGGCTTGAACTACCAATCTTGTGGTTCACAGTCCAATATTTATTGTATAGAGCCACTGCACTCCTAAATAAACACTCATATAAGCTTTATTTATAGTCAACCAAAACTGAAAACAACACAAATATCAATCAACAGGAAAATGGATAAACAGATAGTGGTAAATTCATGGAACAAAATACACACAATAGCATGAATAAAATTAAAAGATATTGAGTGGAAGAAGTCTTCACTTTGTATATTAGCTATCTTTTGCTGTATAATAAAATCGTTCTAAACCTTGTGGCTTGAAAAACAATACATTTGATTCATGATTCTACAGGTTCCCACTCATAGCGACCCTGTATGGGGTTTCCAAGGCTGTAAATCTTTATGGGAACAGGAATCCTCATCTTTGTCCCACAGAACCAATGGCAGTTTTGAATGACTGATCGTGAAATTAGCAGCCTGACTCGTAATCCTATACCCATTCAGCCTCTGTCTATTTATTGACCCAGAGAAAACTGTTGTTTCAAGTGTATTTATATATCACTATTTACCTCTATTCCCTTTAGCCCTTCATACCTCCCTGTGTCTTCACCTATCTTCATCATTCTTCTGCCAACCTTCCTCTTCTTGTATATTACCCTCCCCATCTACCCAGTTAACATGTGTCTACTCTCTAGCCGGTGAATTACTCTCCCTTCCTTCCCACCCCTGGTAACCATCAAAGAAAGTTTCTTTTTGTATGAAAACCTTTTCTTGAGCTTTCACAATCATGGTCTCATACAATATTTTTCCTTTTGTGACTGACTAATTTCACTCAGCATAATGTTCTCCAGGTTCATCCATGAGTGTTTCACAGATTCATCATTGTTCTTCAACGTTGCATGATATTCCATTGTTTGTATGTACCAAAGTTTGTTTATCCATTTGTTCCATTGATGGACATTTAGGATGTCTCCTTCTTTTTCCTATTGTGAACAGTACGCAATGAACCTCTGTGCGCATATAGCTACTAGTGTCCTGGCTCTTATTTCTTGTGGATGTATACCAAGCAGAAGAATTGTTGGGTCATATGGTATTTCTATTTCCAACTTTCCAAGGAAGTACCAGACCATTTTCCAAAGTGGCTGAATCATTTTACAGTACCAACAGCAATATAGGAGGGTCCTAGTCTCTCCACATCCTCACCAGCATTTGTTGTTTTCTGTTTTTAAATTTTGCTATTATTGCTGGTGTGGAATGATATCTCATTGTTGTTTTGATATGCATCTCTCTAATGACTAATGGAAGATGCTCTGGTAGCGTAGTAGTTACGATCGGGCTGCTAACCTCAAGGTCAGCAGTTCAAAACTACCAACTGCTCTGCAGGAGAAAGTTGAGGCTTTCTGCTCCTGTAAAGATTCATAGCCTCAGAAACCTGTACAGGGTGCTATGACTTGTAACCGACTCCACAGCACATAACCACCACCGTTGACTAATGGAGTCCTGGTGTGGTGCTGTCGGACAATGCACTGGACCTCAAAGTCAGCGGTTCAAATTCACCAGCTGCTTCTAGGAAACTCTATCAGGATTGCTATGAGTTGGAACCAACCTGAAGGCACTTAAAACAAAAACAACCATAGCTAATTAGTGTGAAAATTTCTTCATGTTTGTTGGCTGCCTTAATATCTTCTATTATTATTATTATTATGTAAAGTGTATGTTCCTGTCCGGTACTCATTTTTTAAAATTAGGATGTTGTGTTTTTCTTGTAGAGGTGTTGTAGTTTTCCATAAATTTTAGAGATTACTCTGTTGTCTGGTATGTCATTGCAAAAAATTTTTCCCAATGTGTGGGCTTCCTTTTCACTCTTTTTGTGAAATATTTTGATACACGTTGTTAATGTTAAGTGCCTTGGAGTCGGTTCCAACTTATAGCAACCCTGTATAGTGTTGCTGAGGAGTGGCTGGTGAGCTTGAACCACAGACTTTGGAGTTCAAGTCAACCTTGCAGTCCAGGACAATAACATGCAGCACCACACCAGGACTGCTTGATGCACATTAGTGCCTGGTTTTTATGAGATCTCAGTCATCTATTTTGTCTTCTATTGTTTGTATTTTTCTCTAGTAATGTTTGATAGTGTAGTTATGCCATGTATTAGAACCCCTAAGTTTGCCTCTATTTTTTCATTAATGGCGTTTGTAGTTCTAGGTTTTACATATTTGTCTTTAATCCATGTTGAATTAGTTCTTACATTTGTTGTGTGAGAGATAGGTCTTGTTTCATTCTTCTGCAAATGGCTTTTCAGGTTTGCCAGCACCATTTGTTGAAGAGACTATCTCTTCTCTCATTTAACACGTCTTGACTCGTTGTCAAAGATTAGCTGACTGTGGGTGGATGGGTTTACTTTGAGTTCTCAATTCTGTTTCATTGATGTATGTATCTTGTTATACCAATACCAGGATGTTTTGACCACTGTGGCTGTGCAGATTTTGCAATCAGGGAGTAAGAGGCCTCCAATTTTGCTTTTCTTCTTAAGCAATTCTTTGTTTAACCTAGGTCTCTTTCCTTTCCATGTAAAGTTAGTGATCAGTTTTTTCATTCTTTTTAAGGAATGAGAGTGGAATCTGGATTGGGATTGCATTATATGTATAGATTGCTTTAAGTAGCACTGGTATTTTCACAATGGTAAGTCTTGGTATCCATGAGCATAGTGCATTCTTCCATTGTTATAAGTCTCTTGGTTTCTTGTAGTAGCATTTTGTAGTTTTGGAGTCCTTGTGTGGCGCTGTGGGCTAGAATTAGACTGCAAAGTCGTGTGAACTGCAAGGTCGGCGGTTCAAGCTCACTAGCTGCTTCTTGGGAACTCTATACAGGGTCGCTATGGGTCGGAATCGACTCTACCGGCACTTAACAACAACACAACATGTATAGATTTAATTTAATTTCACTGTGAATTTTCTCATGAGCCCTACTTTAAGTCTATTAAATAAGCATCTACATGTAGTTTTCATTATCTTTACTTTCTAGATATTCTGCAATTTCAGTTTTGATTTCCTCTTTATCTCAAGAATCAATTAAAACATTTTTTACTTTTTTCCTCATGACTCTGCCTCTCCCTCTTGCTGGCAGCTTTAATGAGGAGTCCTCTCCCTAGATAGGAACACAGCGAACGAAGGACATCGCGTGCCTGTGGAAGAAACAGCGGCAAAAGGACTGGAGGGTCTACGTAAACTGAAGCTGGAACAGAATTCTTTCCAAATAAACGCAGAACCACGAAGCCCAAGAAGCCGAGGACAAACCCTCGCGGTTACGCGGCCTGATTGGCCAAGGGTTTTCATTAACTCGCGGCTCCATCCTCTGATTGGCTTTCGCGGAGACGCCCCCCACTCTAATGCTGCAAATGTATTGGCTTCTCACAAAACTCTGACCTCGACGGTGGCCGGCGGAGGACAAGAAATCTGCAGGAGAAAGGTTTTTGCGGTGCGTGGGCTTCTGCTGCTCCTGTACTGTGGTGTCAGAAAGCTGCTGGCCTTCAGGGACATGGTGGTGGCCTCTGCAGTGTCGGTGCTGCTAATCGCGGCCGAAAGGAACCGGTTGCAGCGCGTCCCGAGCTTGCTGCTTCCGACGAGGTAACGATAATGGAGGGGCGGCGGGACGTGGAGTGAACGGATTAGGTGAGAGGCAGCAGGGGTCGGGGATGGCTGAGGTGAACTGGAGAAAAAGCTCTGCCCCTCACGGAGGTTGCTGCTTTCCACCATAGCCTCGGGAGCTGCTCTTATCTAGCCCTCTTCCCTCGTCTCGGCTCCCATCCTCCCGCCCTCCGTTTGCATGGGGAGGACGTCCGGGCTTCCAGGCCTCGGCAGCCCTAACACCGTCTGTATGTCTGGCTCCGGACGGTTCACAGGGTGCGTTCACAGCACCCCCTGTGGGGAGCATTGTGTAATCCACGCACAGCCTCGGAAACCCTGTTCAGGGTCGCTATGGGTCGGAACCGACTCGACGGCACTTAACAACAACAACAACAACAATGAAGCCTTAAGCAGCTGAAAGACTTGCTCAAGGTTGCAAGTAGTAACGATGTGTTCTTTTTTAGGATATGTTCCAAGTTGTCCCCATCCTACTTCAAATGCTCAGCTCAGAGAAAGACTCCTAGAGTTCTTCACTCGTTGTTGCAACGAATCAGGCTAACAAAAAATACCTAAGTAGAGTTCCCACTGAATAGTTTTCATCTTGTCTAGACAGGTCTGGTGAAAAGAGATGGGGATAAGATTCTTAGGATTCAATAGTGAGTAATTGTTATCATCACTAATTGCGACTGTCAACAATTGTAAAGGTAGAAGTTTTGTAACAAATACGGGCAGTAGTTAATCTTACAGTCCAAAAACAGAGGACCCTAGGACCATCAAGGGAGAAGAGCACAAGCAGAATGTGAGACCTTCTTCAGAGAAGCAGCGACACCAGAGATGAAGGCAGAGATGGGGACATGGAGAGAGGGAACCCCTGAGGACTCTAGATTCATGGGAAGAAAGGGACTGAGAGCTGGCAGCCAGGAGGAAGACTTGCAGAATGTGCCCTTTGGTTGTTTAAATTATGTATTCCTGAGTGTTTACATGTACATTTCTCCTCACACCCCCAGGGAATGGAAGCAAATACTGTTGGCAAAAGCTCTTGTACTCAAAATGACCAGATGAATCATGATCAAATTCCTGTCCAGATCAGTTTTAAATTTTGAGTAATAAGCTTCTGTAACAATAACTTTGGCAAGTTAAGGCAACTCCTACTTCCAGGTAGCAAGTTTCTTTATCTTTTTTTGCTTCATCAATATCATCACCCATCGATTTCTTCATCATTCTGGTGCATTGTTGTTCTCAGTTCATAGAAGTAGGCTAGGTGGACTTACCATTTAGAGTAACTTGGGACCTTCATCTATATGTGTACTTATGTACACTCACCAAATACAAGTTGGGCAGTGTTTGCTACTGTCTGAACCAAAAGTTGTCTAAATTTTACAGGATTTCAAAGTTTCTTGCTCAGTATGTTATGTTGTTGTTGTTCAATGTTATTGAGTGGATTTCGACTCATAGCAACCCTGTATAAGATAGCAGAGGCTGTAAAATTTTTGTGGGAGCAGAAAGCTTCATCTTCTTCTGTGGGACAGTTGGTGGGCTTGAACCACTGACCTTGGGGTTTAAAGCCCAATGTTTAGCTCACAGTGCCCTTGAGCTCCCTTAGTACTCTTTAAGCTACCAGAAAGGAAGAGATGGGAAGGGAGGACCAATCACAACAAAAAATAAATAAGCCCCTTGTTGTTGCTGTTGAGTGCTGTCGAGTCAGTGCTGACCCATAGCTACCCTGTACAGGGTTTCTGAGGCTGTAAATCCTTACGGGAGCAGAAAGCCTCATCTTTCTCCCACGGAGCAGCTGGTAGTTTCGAACTGCTGACCTTGCAGTTTGCAGCCCAATTCGTAACCACTATGTTACCAGAGTTCCTTTATTGTCGTTAAATACTCTCAAATTGGTCCAACTCATAACAACCCTTTATAGGGGTTTCTGAGGAGCGGCTGGTGAGTTTGAACTGCCAACCTTGAGCTTGGTAGTCCAGTGCTTCTCCTACAGCACCACACCTCTTGAAAGAACTAAGGATGCTTAGCTTATAGGTTAAAGGAATCTTCAAATATTGGAAGGGTTGTCTTTTGAAACAGTAAATAATTGATTTGTAATATATGACTCTGGGAGCCCTAGTAATGTAGTAGGTTACACGTTGGGCTTCTAACTGCAAGGTCAGTAGCTCAAGTCCACCAGGTACTCCTCAGTAAGAAGATAAGGTTTTCTGCTTCTGCAAAGATTTATAGCCTCAGAAGTACTACATGGGGTCGCTATGAGTTGGAATTGACTCAACGGCACACAACCACTACCACCCAATATTGGACTCGAGGTGCCAGAGTCATTGGAAAAGGCAGCTCTTTAGTGTTTTCTTATGAGAATGTTCAAACAGAAATGAAGAGAAAAATAAACTTCTGTGTATTTATCATTCGAGCTGTCTGTCTTCACTTGAAGAATGTTTTAGGCCATCAGTGACCTTGAAACATAATCAGAGCTAGATTGCCAAGAAGCAGCCATTGTGTAGGCATATTTGCCTAGGATAATCCTTATCGGAAACCTATCTGAAGAGTGGGATGGGAAGATGTAGTGAGCTAGAAATGACTTAATAAAGATCAAGATAGATGTTCCCTCTCCTTAAAGATCATGAAAGAGAGGTCAGCAGAATTTGAATGATGTAGGAAACCAGCAACCTCTTGAGGAGGCTATCTCATGGAATCAAGCACTGTGGAGCTTGCAGCCAGACCTGCTTGCAGCATCTGGTTGAGTGTATCAAGGGGCAATGAGTTTATGGAGCCCCCACAGTCATCCTGTCCTCTGTATCCCTGCACCAGTGGAATGAATGCTAGCTGTCAGTTACAGTTACCAAGTATATAATCTAAACCTTTTTTTTTTCTTTAATTTTTTATTGTGGATTGAGTGTAAGTTTACAGAGCAGATTATCAGTTTTACATTCAACAAATGATACAACTTGGTTCATCACAATGATTACAATCCCCTCCATGTACCATCAGTTAGCAATATTTCTCTCTATTCACTTTAGATCTTTTTCTTTTCAAAACACTCAGGCATACATACTAATTTACACCACCAAAGGGCACATTCTGCTAGTCTGCCTCTTGACCACTATCTCTTAGTCCATCTTCCCATGAATCTAGAGTACTTAGCCACTCCCCCTCCCCATGTCCCCATCTCTGCCTCCCATCTCTGGTGTCTCTGCTTCTCTGGATAAGGTCTCACATTCTGCTTGTGCTCTTCTCCCTTGATGGTCCTAGAGTCCTGTGTTTTTGGACTGTAAGATTAACTGCTCCCCCATTTTTGTTACAAAACTTCTACCTTTAAAATT